CATATCACTATTAATTTTTGGCTTAATTTTATTTATAGCTGTTTTGTGCTATCTTTAGCAAAAACTACGACTTTCCCATTTATGTTTAAGTTTAAATCATTGATTGATGAATAGAATCGGATCTAATACTGATCCTTGAGCACCCCGGCGTTTATATTTAATTTATTTCAAATACAGGGTGCGGCAGAGAGGACGGACGTTTTTGGGATGGGTAGTACTCTCCGCCACCGTCTACGAGAGAGGGGGGAGGGTGCCGTTTGACTCGTGACATCCTAGCATTATTTTACCAGTTGTCGTTATGGAGCCTTGGACGGTGGAGCACCGCGTTTTCGCCTATGATTGTTTCGTCCGAAGTAATGAGTCAGTCATCGTCGTACAGCGTGAGTTTCGTCGCCACTTCAACATTCATCGGAATAGAGCTGTTCCCTCTCGAAACACCATCCTTCGTTGGGTTGAATTACTTCGCAGGCGTGGTGAACTGATCAACAGAAGACCAAGTGATCGTTCGGTGAGGCGAATTTTGCATATGGATCTCCGCTTTCACCCCTACAAATTGGAAATTGTGCAACAGTTACAGCCCGGAGATTATGCACAACGAATGAACTTCGCACGTGAGATGGAAGGACTGATCGATCAAAATGAGAACCTCATTTTGTTTATGAGTGACAAAGCCTACTTTCACCTAAACAGCATGGTTAACCAGCAGAATTGTCGTTATTGGGCTATTGAAAATCCGCAACAGTTACACGAAAGAAGAGCGATGTTGGAGAGAGTCTACGCGAACTTCCAAGAACTCCTCTAGTACTGCATCAACGATTTCGGCCACCACATGCCTGATGTAATTTTCCACACTTGACTGTCCCAAATGCTATTTCCTTATGAACCTGATTCCATCAATAAATTTGTTTTCGAGTAAAAATTAACTATTTTATGATTTTTTTTAAACCGGCAGGCAGGGTGCGGCAGAGAGGATGGACCTCTCTGCCGCACCCTGTATAATGTCTTGATAGCTTTACAATTTGGGATCGAATAAGGCTTTGGAAAAGTCGCGAAAAGGGCTATTGAAATTTGTTTATCGTTTATATTGGAGTATAACGGTTGGAGTAGTGTGAAAATAGCATCCATGGTATTTTTTTGTTTTTGAAATCGAAATTGGTTGTCACTCATGGTTTTCTTGGTTTTTAAAAGGTCTTTTAATCTAATTTGAACTATTTTTTGATTACTTCTGCTATAACAGTAATTAAACGTATGGGTCTATAACTGCCTGGTAAATCGCTTGGAAAGTTTCTGATGCTCTAATTTCGAGCACACGTGTATAATTGTCGCGTTAATGTTCGTCATATGTCTACGTGTACTACCCTCACACAAAATTTATCCAGTTAAATTCAAATCAGCATGCAGAAATGCTCTAAATACTCAACGCTTCGCCTGACATTTCACAAAAAGTTACAAGTTGACCGAGTACGTGTTTTGGCTCTCCATTTTAGCAAACTTTCTGCGTAACTCCATGTACCTGAAATCCCCACTCGGTCCTTATTTTCCGCTATGTCTGCTCATAAAAAGCGGGATTCCGGTTGTCTCTCTCCCAAATGCCACCACCTTGTATTCCAGGCAAATTTAATGGCCCAGCTCCCGGTTTAAATGGCTGTCGTGGCACTTTCCCGCAAAAGATAGGTACAGTCGAGAGCCATAAGTGATGTCGCGTGTAAATCATAGAGATAAAAAGGGCATAAATGAAAGAGATATGTGAGAGAGCATCGTGGAGGGAGTAATGGACATATTTGTTTGAAAAATGATGGAATATTTTTACTTCCCACCTACTGCATAGTGAGACGAATCACTAATCTAAGTAGACAAAATGAAAACAAGAAATCTAAAACTACTGAGTATTTAGCAGAGATTTAGTTTTATAACTGAAATCAGTAAAGATAAGCATGCAAAAAGCAGACAACCAAGAATTACGGCCGCAATGAATTCCAACAATTTGGTGAAATTGATGACTGTTCAAACCACCACCTAGTGTCCAAATAATTTTTTCATGATGAAAGATAAGTATAAAAGTAATTACCTAGTTAATTTACACGCGGAATTCAGTTAAGAACCCTTTTATGATGTTAGATGTGCGAGCGTGTCTTTTGTTAGTTTCCGTCGTAGTATAAATAACATTACTACCAAATGACCCGGTCGCCGTAGTAATTTTAATGTTGAAATTTAAATAAGTCCCTATATTTTGATGCCCATTAGAACTTACCAAAGGTGCTTCAAAATATTTTGAACCGTTGTTCGTGATATACCCAATTCAAGGGATAATGATCTTGTGCTAACCTGAGGATTTCCTTCAATATATCTTAGTACGCGGTTAATATTTTTTGTTTTTCCAAATCTTTGCCGTTGAAACGGAAGCCGAAAACTACCATTGGCTCGTAAGCTCGCTATTAATCGGGGAAAAACTCTCACATCGCAAAAGCGCAGATTTGGATATTGAGTCGCGTAAACCCTTTTGCTGCCTGCGGCATTCTGAAGACATTGACAGTAAAAAGCAAGCATATAAACAGCTTCATCGTTTGTAAAACGCATTTGGTAAGCACAAAAATTACTCAAAAAAACGCGAAACTATTGACAATTATTTATGTTTTGATTAGGTATTCGTTTTGTTGCATTCCATGGCCTGCTTCTATTAATTGTCTTTTTCGTATATACCCATTTAAACAAAAAATATGCCTTTTGTTATTAGCATTACTTACTTAACTTTTAGCGATATCTTGTAAGATTTTAAAAAAGGGTGATTTTATTCTGATGAAAAAAAATAATTCCAAAAAAAATTAGTTTAAAAAAATTAAAATTTAAGGGATTCCGGTATAAAATTTTCTTTGACCAAATTTTATGTTAGGGACAAGATATCGAGATGCGGTTTTTGTTAGCTTATTTAGACATCATTTAGCTAATTTTACATACAAAAAATCATAGCAATGCATTTTTTGAGAAAAATAACCATTTCTATCGGAATGTCGAAAAAATCCCTCTGTGGAACTAACAAAAATTCAAGTACTATCACATTTGTAGCCCCCAAGAATAGCTCTTTTCAACTAGCCCAAGTTTGTTAAAATCGGCTCAACCGTTTCGAAGATATAGGATGTTTTACTGAAACCTTTGAATACCCCCCACCACTTTATTTTTAGAGATACATCAACAATTGTCAAACAAAAAAGTTCACATTATCCTCGACCTTAAAGATTAGGTATTTTTTTGTTCGGTTAATAAAGCATAATTCACAGAAACATCACTTTTTAGATTCAACATTGCAGTTACGCCCCCTAGCAGCCATTTCAGAAACTTGAAAATATTTCTTCAGTGTTTTCTCTTGGCCGTTTTAGTAAAAAAAATGTTGCCGCAATCCTCTACGATGGGTAGATTCCCAGATAGAGTACCTCGCATTCTTAATTGACCACCCTGTACACTGAGTGAATAAAGATTATTATTATTATAATCACTCTAATATTTACTATTTGAGCTGTGGCACAGCTCTAAAGAAATAGGCTCAATTCTGCAGCAATTATAAGACCAATTTTCACTAGAAAACGTGTCAGATGTTTCTGTGCGTGCTAGTTGCTTGAGCTAAGTCAGTAGGCGACTGGAGCTCGCACAAGGCGACAGTGGTACCTTATCAGATATTGTTAAGCCAGACGTCTGCGAGACGTAGGTATGATTATCTTGTATGAAACTTCTGTAAGTTGTTTGGAAAGATTGCTTATTTATTAATCACGGTTACTTATTATTCATCTTAATAGCGAACCGAAGTGTACTAAACAGTATTCAAATTGAAGTATTTCTGAATAAAAATGAAGAAATTTCGTCATCAGAGTGTGAAAGTGAAGTTGAAGTGAACGAATCAGGAGATAACGTGCAGAATGATACTGAAGATAAATTGGTTGAAAAGCTGAAGATCCATCAAAGTCTGTTCCTCGTGATGATGAAATGATAATGCAAACAGAGGCGCCTGCAAAAAAACAAGATGTGTTCGAGCGTCGAGATGCTAACAAATCGGCTTGAAGGCTCGCGGGCTCGAATTCCGACCTCAAAGATGCATTTCGAGCCATGGCATTTGTGGTTGTCTATACATATACGCACTCAGTTGGTGCAAAATCAGATAGGTAGATCGCATCGCTGGAGCGCGATTTTTCAATAACCAGTAGATAGCAATAGTCATATTGTTTATCCAAAATCCGCAGAATGTCAAAGTTACCATGCACGAAGTGCAAAATGCCTGTTTGTGGAGAACATAAAACTGACTTGTGCCATGAGATGCATTTTACATCGAAAATTAAAAGTTTTAATGGAAAGTGAAATTAAGTTAAAATATGCAGATATAAAGACTAGAAGTCACTTCAAATGTTCGTTTACAAAATGACCTGAGTCCTCTGTTAATTTGCAAAGAAGTACCTAGACAACTTTTGTTTGTCATTTTTCAATAAAAATTAAAGTTCGCTAAATGTTCGTCTTGTTTCTTGGAGTAGTATTTAAACAGTTATTTTAAATTGTAATGTACGTCAGCAAGTTAATGATTTGAATTAGAAAGCCTAATTTTACATACGTCTCCTGGACGTATGATTATATTTTGCGCTAGTTATTATATGTTTATCTTTCTGGGGTTGAAAAAGAGTCATGAGTGGTTGGATAGTATCTTTTATTACAAATGTTGGGATTGTACCTTAGCTGTTGTGGCCAGTAATTCAGGAGGAACACTTGTCCTAAAAAATCACCGCTCAAAGCACACCGTAAATATTTTGACCAAAAATCATGAGAACACCAGATCATAAAGGATTACGTTCAGTCCAATTTGAATCAGTCAAACAGACCCATACAATTAGTCCAAAGACGTACTTTCCCTGACCTACTGGTAATTACCGACCATGTGGCAACTTTGTCCCTTTCCACATCTGTGAGGCATCGCTGCACCGAATTATCTTTCGTTTCGTGCAAGATACGTGTTTTTGTTTTGATCAAAGCACACCGTAAATATTTTGACCAAAAATCGTGAAAAAATGACTCACCTGAAATTCGAAGTCCTTGAAAACTTCTACGGTGTCGATGTCTGTTTCGGCAGATGTCAAAACGGGACATACTTCTAGATCCCTTCTGTCGTAGAAGAGAGCTGGTCTAGCTCTCGAGTTGGTTTGGAAGATTCTTTGGGATTGTTCGCCGGAAGAAGGTAGTGAGTCATCTATCGATGGATTCACCTGATAGAGGAAGAGACAGATTGACAAAAAAACGCAAGTGTCAGTCAGTTGAAGAATATTACAAATCCATTATAATCAACAATTCGGACTAGGTAGAAGAGCAAGTATACGATTTGTTTGTAACCAAAATTATGTAGTCAATATGTAGATGTAGATCAAATGTAGTATAATTATGCAATTGTATTGTAGTATGTATGTATTTTAGTATAGCATAGTGCTTTTATATATGTGATGCCCTTCGTAAGTGTTTTTAAAATTTTAGGTTTTATTTGCACTTCGCTTTTATATCGACACAAATATTATTTTATACTTATCGGTTCTACGCATGATTCGTTCGTTTAGTTTATCTTTGTAAATAACTTGTTTTGAATTGAATAGTCATGATGCAAGTTCATACTACAGGTCGATCAGGCTTAAGCCGCCAGTTTGATGTTGTTGATATTTCACATTAAATTTGTACTTTTCTGGGAAACCATATAAAAGTGCTTTCAGACACGTGTCGAACATGGTGAATGTTTCTGTGGTTGCAAAAAGTAGATTAAACTGAATAAGAGCAAATCTTTTTATCGATAAGTGTTTTATATATTATAATCAGCGGCGTTTCGATAGCGATGTACCTCAGCATTGGGCGACCTAGACAGTTGTGATGTAATTTTGATTTATTTCATTTCACTTCTTCTTTCATTGAGCAGTACAAATCCAAAATTTGTAAACAGAATTGTATACTCAACAACAACATTGAAAAATGCAAAATATTGGAAGCATACCAAATTTTTTGTTCGATTCTGAAAACGGTCAACCCAAAATTTCACTAAACTAAAATTTAAAAAGTTAAGTTAATTTAAAAAAAATGTAATTTTGATTCTAAATGTTTCCAGAAATGGTACTTTCGTGTTATGTGGAAGAAGCTCAGTACGCAAAAGAACTATGAATATCAAATTCATTACAATACTTTCAATCCTTTGTATTGAATAAATAAACATAATAGGAGGAATTTCATATTATGCTCAAGTACGTAGGTATTTCCTTTTAACCAAGAATCTGGTCGGATCACAAACTTTTTTAGAAAAACCGAGTAGAATTCATGCAAGGTAACCCAGTTTTTCCAATATCAGGTATTCCGCCATTGTTGCTGTTTGGTGGAGAGAATGTTTCGTAAAGTTCACCTTCCAAAATCACGAATTAAGCTGGACTACGAATAGTTACTTGAATATCGTCGCCAAAGAAAAAAATGTATGCCGATGTATTAGTTTGTTACTTTGGTAGTCAAATTACCCAAAAGTATGCACTAAAACCTCACAATTTTTGCGATAAACAATGCAAAGTAAAAATATATATGATCTAATCGAATTCGTAGATTCTAACTACGCTATTTTTTGTTTGAGCAGACTACATTATCCAGAAATTGAAGCTACATGGATTCAAGTGTAGCAAACTTTACTGGCGTTTCGGCTTTCTTAGCATCCATAATGGCCAAAGAATGGAGGAAATTCGAGAATTTTGTTAAAAATGTTGCCTATTGGCAATCCCCGGCAAAACCCGTTTCTTGGGAAAATTATAAGCGTAGATCACGAATCTATTGTCAGCTTTTCGCTGTGATCAACAAGAGGTCCCAAAAGTCTCATTTTCTACTCCAAATTGGACTTCGCGTCCATTCATAATTTTTTATTGGCCATATTCGAAATCTGATTTCAGTTTTTCGCTAAGATCGAGGAAACGTCCTAAAATTCCCATTTTCCAGCTGCAAATGAGATTTCGCCACACTACATTTTCTGGTCGTATTGTAAATTAGCATACAAAATTACCACAGACACTGTACGTAGCAATGAGATACAAAAATAAAAAGTTTGCATAAAGAAACCTCAAAGTAAACTTGATTATCCCTGCCCATATCACAATATCCCTGAATTTTTCATGAATTCACTAAGCACTTTAATTTTCTCACTTTCTTTGTTGCGTGGCGACTCTGAAATTAGTTGTAGAAAATATACATATACTAATAACACATCCGAATCGCCAATAAAGTTCATTTTATCAAAGCTCTACAACGAAAATTATAAAAAAAGTCTATCACTTACCCGTTGTCCGACATCCGACGTGAACGTGGTATAATAAAAACACAAAACGACCGTCAAACTGACAGCGGCGGTGGCGAACCCGCGCGGTGACGCCCTGCGACATAACCACGCGCGGGCGGACACCGTCATTTAAACGGAGGCGGAACTAACGACTCGATAGGCGGGGCATCGTACGGAGTGGGCGTGGCATCGTGCGAGATAGGCGGGGCAGTCACGTTAAGGGCGGCGGTGGGTCCCCCATGCCGGGCGTTGACGTACACCTGAAACAAAGGGAACATCATTTATATTAACTATATCAACACGGAAAGGTAAGGAAAGATCGGTTATTATGAGATATCTAATAATACTAAAATGATTTCATTCGATAAGCAGGACTTATAGTTTATAGGTTACTCGAATCGAAGGGAGCCTCCGTAGCTCGGCGGTCAGAGCATCGAGCTATAAACCGTGGGCCCGCGGTATAATATTAATAGGTAAAAAGAAGGCAGTCAGAAAAGGCGAAAGAAATTAGAGAGAGACAGACTATAACTTCAAAAACATGGCATCCACAAAACAGCTGATAGTGCATGAACACAAGCTGTTCTTATATAGTCGGAGATACATACGGATAATCCTTTTTAGATGAAATTATTTATTATCACTTGCGGTGAATGCATTTTTTGATGAAATCTACTTTTGTTTGGACATTCATTCATGATGGGGATATTTATCATCCGTTTTCCGCCTACGAAATATATTTTTTATTCAATAGCATTTTCGCGAGCGAAGTGATTCTCAAAACTTGTTATCGCGTAGCTATTCAACTTTTATGAACCTAAGCGAAATATTAGACGATTTCGCTTAGCAACAAAAGAGGCGGGTTAGCTTGAAATTCAAGTTTTCTAAGCACAAATTGGGTAATTGACCAATCGTCGATCTATTTTCCAGGGTTGCAGTAATTTAGACAGCCTGACCTTAAGACAATATGTTTACTTATTTCGTATGACTTTTTGGCGAAACCGCCAAAAATCGTGAAAATAACCGAACTCTATTCAGCTCAGAATAAACGTAGCGTTTTCTTCATATTTCATGGTTCTGTATATGCAGAGCGATCTATAAGTGAGTCGCCAAACCAAGAATGGTGCGCACATAGATCTGTTTTTATTTGTAAACCAGTCCAACAGCCGACCCCAAAGTTTTCGCTGCATCGCGTACCGATACGAAATGTTGAAAACTAGTCAAAGACAGATGACTGTACAGTATCTCAGTGCATCTCGAATCATCTTTTGAACGCGGGAATATAGTATTAAGTTGCCTATCGTCACGTAAAATACGTTAATCGGTATCTAAACGCTGGTGGCATTAAGATTAGATCAAATTCTCCGTTATTTTTTCTGATAAAACCACAGGCTTCTGAATAAGATTATTTCGATATTATCATTTCTTATAACGTTTTACAATACGTTCGAACGATTTCCTCCTATTGTGATATGAAGTTTTCAAGCAGTGCAATCATGATAATATGTATGTCCGTGATGACTAGAGATGAGCTATATCGTTATTTCTGAATATATGTACATCTGGCATCATTACTTTTTGATATCAATGATTTAAAAGTACTTCCGGAGAGAGACGGAAAAAACCCAATTTTCCCAAAATCGTTTCAATTTTTACTTGGCTTTATTTGTAGTTGAATTCCAAAATAAATTGTACGTTAACATTGTCACTCTTCTTCCTCTACAAGATGGCATAATCAGAATCTCAATATGACGTTTGTATTCTTGTCCTACAAGAATCATTTTTCTTATGGGCACCATATTGGATTTTTTTATACTGACATTGCCTGTACCTATGTTATTCCAGAAAAACAGAAGTTCCTAGGTAGGCCTTCAAATGATCAGATTTCATTTGTTTTGAATGCCAGACCACCTCAAATTGAACATAGAAACATAGCTTTGCCTACAAAATAACGCACAACATTTTGAACATCTGCTATGATTTATCTCTGGTTATTTATGGTTATTATTGTTATTACCATCAATAAAATATTCGTTTTGTGTTCAGGTCTCACAATACCTTTTTATTTCCTTATAATTTTCATCCAAAAAGAACTTCATTTTCAACTAAGGAAAAATACATCACTGAATTTAGGACTGAAAATCCATTTAAATGTACAAAATTCCAATATAGCGTCCATTTGAAAAACAAATTTGATGAAGAAAGACAAAAGAAGACAGACCGATTTAAAAAATTCTCATCTTGTAGAGGAGTATAAGTAACAACAACAAATACAAAATCAAATAAAGAGAGACAAAAAATAAAAATGATTTTTGGATAAAAAGATGCGAAACAAATGACTATCTACTAATTCCAAGGCCTACTTAGTAAATTATGCTTTTTTGAAATAATTAAGGCTTGGCAATGTCAATGTATTGATTGATACATTTTTATAATCAGAATTAAACACTATATTCATCTATGCAAAAATCTAATATAACTTCCATAAGAAAAAATAAAGTTGGTTATGAAAAACATGAGATCAAACATCATATTGATATTCTAATTATGCTATCTTATAGAGAAGAAAAAGTGACAATGCGCCTCTCTCCGGAAGTACTTTAAATTTCGGAACTTTCTAAGCGGCATTTTGTTCCTTACCAAAATACACAACTTTGTCCCATTTAACGGACTTCGTATCTCTCTTACAGTTTCCAAGATCCGATGAGGGTTGAATTTGAAACACCCTTTTCATCTAAAACTGTCAACGACTATAATACAGTAGGAGCCCGCGACGGCAAGACCTTCCTCACTTTATAAAACCTGAAGGTTCCTCTGTGCATGTCTCCAACACAGGTAAGGATGGTCAGTGACTATGGAATTTGGATAGTGGTTAATTTGGCAGGTAACAGGTAGAAACGGTATATAAAATAGTACCTCAAATTCCTTAAAAGTATAAAGCCCAGTTTTCTATTTTCTTCAGAATAATATTGTGGGACTATCAGAATATGTTACCCCAGTAGCCAGACAGTTTTACTTGTTTTAAAATTGTTCCAGACTCATTGAAAGTCCACCGTAGGTGGAGCGCGAGACAATATTATACACCTATTCAACCGGATGCGAGTGATAGTGAATTTTTTCTACCGCGATCTTTTACTACGCAACTGTCATTAACTCAGTATTAATTATATGCTGCACAGTATTTCTGTAGGGTAGAGTAGGGTAAATCGTACCGATTTTTAAATAATTGACCACTGTACTCAGAAATTAAACTCTTTAGCATTCATATTAGCACACAAGCAAATATAAACATTTATTTTCTCCTTAATCAAGAGTTTAACTAAATCAAACAACATCTTAAGCAAAAAAAATACAAAAATAAAAATGCTTGCAAACGGTACGATTAAGCGAACAGGTTGGTTTAATCGTACCGTCGGTTTTTAAATCGTACCACTAACTTTTTATTTACAGTTCTCACACACATATTTTTTTATTTGCTTTTTAGTTCCTGCACATGATGTGTGGGCCCATTTCTCACATTTCATACATTTCACCATATCCTCAATAATGTTCTCTTCACATATATGGCAGTACCATTCAGTAGTATCATATTCAATTTGAGCATTTACTACATCAGATTTTGAAGTGGAAGATTGGTCGTCACGTGCTTCGAAAAGGGAAGTAGAAGAATGCCCGAGATTTTTCTTTACTTTTTTAATTGAGTTCTGCCTTTGATTACGCTTGCTCTCCAATTCATCTTTATAGGGCGTACTGCTTAAAATGACGGCTGGTTGAGACAATTTTCTTTTCTTAGCATTACCTTTATTCTCAGGTAAAGGATACATTTCTTCAATGGAGGTATTCAGATCTGTTGAGTTGCAATTGTTGTTTAGTTCAGTACTATTACTTTTAACTGGTCGCTCAGTAGCTTCGTCTTCAGGCTCAATAGTCGTTTCACGTGGATTTATTGCCCCTAAATCCTCCCTTGCTGTTTCTGAATCATTTTCAAGCAAGGCGCTAGCAGCGATAAAATCTGCATCAGAAAATACAGTACGGTCAACCGGCCATATTCCAGTTCTTTTAAAACCACCCATGATGTTGCTTATTGATGCAGTTTTTGCATAGGCATCAGAGAGCAATCCAGTCATGTTATATTGAGTAACAGTGTTACCAGGATTGCTTCTCAAAAATGTTTCAATACCTTGAGAAAAATAGGATTCCATAGGTTTAAAAAAGCTTACGTCTAATGGCTGTAACCGATTTGTAGTATGGCCAGGAAGTTGCAGTAGTACAATTCCATGCATTTTTGCTAAAATGAGTGCTTCCAGATTTTTTGAGTGCGTTGTGTGGCCATCCAGCAAAAGCAAAACTTTTTTTTCGGTACTTGGTTTTACGTACTCAATGAAGTGCTTTAACCATTTAACAAAAAGTTCGCTATTTATATATCCAGTATCTGAAATTGTAACAATAGTGCCAGATATTGCACCTATGGTTAGCTCTGGAGCCATACGTTTTCTCTTGAAAATGATCATGGGTGGTACAGTTTGACCGGCAGCACTGGCACAAACGACAACTGTGGTATTTACGCCCCTCTCACCACTTGCTATACATCCAACTTGGTGCTTTCCTCTACGTGCAATTATTTTTTGAATCCGTTTTTGAACAGTTGAAAATCCACTTTCATCAACATTATAAGTTGTTTGAGCCGTAAAACAGTTTTCATCAACACATCTTTCTAAGATATCAAAAAACTCATGGACGTTTTTTTGGTTGAATCCAGTTGCTCTAGCCATGGAGATTTTCTCTGGTTGCCTTAGTGACAGTTCATGATGTCGGTTCATAAAAGAATAATACCATCCTTTTCCCGCCATTTCTTTGTTGATGTTGAAGCGATGTGGAATATCATTCCGAACAGCTATTTGGAAAGCCAATCGTCTAACATCCCGAATTGTTACACCAAAAAATCTTTCTTCCAG